GGATTTTCAGAAGCCTGGGAAATCCCACTAAGTGAGATAGCGACTTTTTTTCCCACTAGTGGGAAGTATTCTCCCTTTTGACAACATTGGACAGACGACAGGTTTACATAAACACATTGGAGACTTCATAGCCTCATTTTTTACCTAAATTCGATTGAACACTCAAATTGTGCCTTACACATCTAATTTAACTTCTTCAGTTCAATAGCAGTCATACATGAAAATCAGGCAGTGACCTAGAAAAATGAACAACTAACCATCAGTGCAAATGCTTACCTGTCTTGTATGGAAGAGTCATGACAGTTCTTACCATAAACAACATCTACAAGTGAATCTAAACTGACCACATTCTAAAAATACTGCATTATGATCTACATGCTTCTTGTTTACTTGTTTGTCAACAAATAGAGAGACATCTTCTACCAAATATTTCAGTGGGCTAGACAGACTCAGAAGATTTCTGGCATTTCCTCTGGGGAAGTAGAAGTCATGGGGATACGCAAAATCAGAAAGAAATATCAGCAAATCAGATGTTCTCTTTGTATAGTCCCAATGAGAATGACAAAAAGAAACTTGAAAAACAAAAAATCAATCCAGTCCTACAGTAGCTATGACTAAGTTAATCAGGTAGTAAACAACCATCTTTTCCCATACAAAAGAAGCCCTTCAGATTTAACACCATTCCCTCTGAACAAAACATTCACATTTAGCACAGTGCTTTACGTACTGGCATGAAACATAAAAACAACAAGACTTGGTCAAGACTTGGGTTTCTGCTGCACCTCTCATATGACCTTGTTCTCTCTGTTGGACTTTATTTTTATGGGATGGCTTAGAAAAGCTCTGGGAACACATGAAGACAAGTATGGATCCCTCTTCTCCCTAGTCATCTCTTTTGCATCTACCTGGCAGACACCTCACAGAGCATCTACCACTGAAGTACATACAAGTTCACAGACCTGGAGGATTTTCCTTCGCCCAGCATTTTTGTGCTTCTTTGTCTGCTGACAATAATTTTCAACACACATCATTTTAATTAAGGTTGTACTTGAGGGTAGGCAGATCTTAGTTTTCTTCGCACAGGGAAATAAGTGCGACCAAGATCATCATGGTTCTACATACCATGGAAGTAATAATGCTGCTTCATCAGCCTGCTGCTGTATTACTACTCCATAATCACTTTTAGACTGCCCAAGATGAGTTCTAAAACAAAATGTAGACCATCCTCAGTGGTAAACAAAGATGCACTAAATGAACAGTAGCATTACACATTATGAAAATCCATTTCTACGAGCTAAATTACAGGAAGCTAATAACTTCACAAGGGGATCATGGCTTCTTTTCTGCCAAGGCCAACTGGTTTCTTTTGCTGCCTAGCAAACTTAATTTTCAAACTTTTTTTTTTTTTTTTTTTTTTTTTTTTTTTTTTTTTTTTTTTTTTTTACTGTGAGAAAATAACCTTAGTAAGCATAATATGCTACAAGCAATTCTGCCTACTGAAATTACATCCCAGGTACCGGTACATAGAGATTCCTCAAAAATTCTGGCTCTAATTAAGCTCAACTGTAAATAAGCTGCAAAACTGAAAGCTAATTTGTCACATTTAGTCATAGCCTTGACAAGAGGCATAAAGAAATGTCTACCCTGAGAGACCCAAAACTCCCTACCACATTGCTCCACAGTTATACTCCAGAGGTGATCAGTTAGCTAAAGCTCATTAGAAGATTCACCACACTCTACAACAGGGTCAGATCAGCTATTGCAGTATAGAGGAGGTCAGTGTCCACGTAGTTCTCTTCTGTACTCCCTCTCCAATGAGTCAGGGACTCATGTCACAAGATGCTAAGAAAATTCTTAAGAATACGGGTAATGTCTGACTTCTTAAAAATTGTAGGCAACTCAGAATGAAACAGACTTAAAAAAAAAAAAAAAAAAAAAAAAAAAAAACTGAGTGGGAACAAATTTCCCCACTTACTTTTGTGTTTATTCAGGATTGGTCCTCTCTCTCAGACTGGCACCTAGCCCAGCACTTTCACACAAACCCCCTTGCTTCCTCCGCTGCCCACCTCATACCAGGCTGGATGTTGCACTGTTGCACCTTGCTCCTCTTTGCAGTGTTTCAGTCTCTGCCAAGCATTCTCTGGGTTTTCAGTCATGTATCTGCTGTTACTTCTCGACACAGAAAAGAGATAATGAGGACTGCTCCCATCTTTTAAAACTCGCATAGCTTTGCTGTTCCTACTAACAGGAACGCATGATTAGCTACATTGCTCATTTCACAGACTTTGTTCTTTCTTAGAGAAAAAAATGACCAGAGCTCAGAAGGTTAAAAAGAGTGTGCGTATGTGGGAGGAAAGGTAACAAAATGCAGAAGACAAATACACCTCTTCAGAAAACTCACTGATTCAAATTATGTACTGTGTAGGAATTTGAGGACTTTGCTGATTATGCAGGGCTAGATGTCTAAATATGCTTCTTTTTCACTTCTGTATAATGTTGAGGTCTTGGGGCTAAAAATCTGTGCTTGGATGAATATAACATATTAGGCTCTCAGTAAACTCACAACAACAAAAATCACTTTTAAAAGGGGTGGGTGGAATGACAAGAGATACCAGTTATGTAAAAGAAGCTTATTTAAAGGTAAATAACTGGTTTTGATACATATTTATCTTAAACCCTGGCAGCTGTCATGGCTTTAGTAGTAGTATAGCATGGAAAACCCACAAGATCCTCACAGTCCCAGGCGGGGAGCAGCAACAGCCTCCTCCTCCTGCTGAGGGAGCAGAGAAGGAGAGGTTGTCATATAAGTGCCACTGCAGCAGCAGCAGCATGAGGAATGGGGAGAGCAAATTCAACTGGTCAGTAAATCGAAGATTGCTCTAACACTGCAGTCCTGCACTGAGAACATATTTCCTTGCTTCTGCAGATGAATCCAGAAAACATGCATTATACTGAAATCCATGTAATGGTAGTGCTTAAAGACTGCTAGCTAACTGATGTGGGTAGGAACAGCTGGGTTCTTGAGCAGAGGAGCAGATAGAGAGGAAGGTATCCCAGTTAGTTTCATCATTTTTTCTTATCTAACAGACTTCTCTGACACTGATCTCTGGTTGGTCCAAGATACCCAGACCTCATATCTTGTGATGCTTGTTAGTACTTTAAAAAGCCAATATAAGAGCATATATAAGCATTCACACAGACTGGGAAAAAAAAAAAAAAAAAAAAAAAAAAAAAAGCCCTAATTGAAAACCTATTTACTTTGGTTGATCAAATTATGGTTTAGTGGAGGACTGTTACTGTTAGGTCAGAGGTTGGACTTGATGATCGTGAGGTCTCTTACAACCTAGAAATTCTGAGAAATTCTGAGAAATTGAGTAGCACTTAAAAGCGTAACCACAGTAAATCCAGGGGAGTTAAACCTGTTTTATTCCAGATATGGCAACTCAACTCTGTCATGTATAATTAATCTCCTTCACATCCATCTACTCTGATGGACTTGACTCTGTGAGCTCCTTTGTCACCAGTATGTTAATGTCAGAGAGCCACCTTCTGCTGACGGTGACAAAGCTGTAAATCTGAGGTAAGTCTCTTCATCAGAGATGCGTGTAAAGACATGTAGGATTTGTCCCAGTCAATCTGCCTCAAGCCCCATGCATACAGGAGGCTGTAGGAAGACTCTCTTTGCCTGCAGGGTTTGGATCAGGCTCCACGCGAGTGACTGCTCTCAGAGACAATAAGGCAAGCCTGCAAAAGCAGGGCTGGATTAGTATTTACAAGCGAAGCTAAAGGAGCTGCAGTTGCTTTCCCCAGGTTCTCTTCACAAGGACAATGCCTAGCTTAGGCAGCCTTGGTCACTCTCTGGGTGAGCCTCTTCACTCATGAAACAGGGAATCTAGTGAGATGAGCTGAACATGATGGCATGCATTGGTACTTCAACCTGAACGGTGTAAACACTTAGTCTGCTTATTTCTACCAACTTATTGCCTCCATTCGCAACGCTCCTCTTGATAGCAAGGTGATGTCCCCATTGATGTTATTAGTGGGATCATTCACTTAGAGTTAGGAAAGTGCTCTTGTATCTGGCTGCACATCACCCTTTTATGGCCCCAAATCTGATTCCATGAATCAGTGAATGGCAAAAAATAACATAAGATGAATCATTGAAATGCCCAAAGAATAGCCCAAATCTGTTGATCAGAAGATGAAATTGTCTTGGCGGGTGCTTGATTAAAATGCCTGTTAGACTAAAGGATGACCTATAATTATGAAGGAGCCCTTCCCTAAGCAGTGTGAGAGATCATCTCTTACCTTAACACACGCATCATTGCAATCAGTAAGAATTACATGGGAAGTACAAGAGCCAGGCAGAAAAGCATAAACAGATTAAAAGCAAAAGTGATTATTTTAGTAATTAAACATTTCTTAACTGAAATTACATGAAATGCAAAAGCAGCATGAAAGGTCAGCAGAGATTTTTGAAAGAGTGCTCAAGAGATAGTGAAGGGGGGGGGGGGGGGGGGGAAGCAATTAAACACAGAGATAGAAGGTTATGATGCATAAAAGATTATTCCAAACAAGTGGCTGGCAGCAACAAACTGCATTGTTTTGAAAGTTTAATTAATAAAATGATCTTTCTCATTAACCATTGCCACTGGGGAAGATGGATTGGAAAAAACACGCAGAAAACAAAACAGACACATTTCTTCCTTACTTGTATTTATATATATGTAGAAATCCGAAGAGCAAAACTAATAATTTATTTTCTGTATAAAGGGATCAGTATGAATACATGGTTGTCATTAATGCTGCATGTGCAGGTCAAGTTTCCTAAATAGCACTGGGATATGGGAGAGGAAGGTCCTTCTAAGACGAGCCATGAAGCCCCCGACTGAATCTCTGCTTGAACTCTAAGAGCCTGCTATGAAGGGTCAGCCAGGAGCTTTGACTCCACTACTTTGATTGCAAAGCCATTCCTGAACCTCACTCACATCGTATTTCAGAGCATGACCTTCAGCCATTTTGGAGACACTTCCAAGAAACCCAAGCTCCTGAGCTCAAATGGTAAGCTCCCCTGCATGACACCACTACTGAACAAGACATGCACACTAATTGCCTGTGGACCAGCAGCTGTAAGATCTACTGATTATCCGGTACGTTTCCTATTTCTTTTTTTCCTGTCCTCAAAACTGCCAGTTCACTTTGACACAAGCCACTACTTCTTTCCCTGCACTTCTCCCCTCTCCCCAGTGATTTGACATATATCCAACTGTTGCAGTGACCCTTGCAATCAAATCAACTTCTTCCTTGACATTGCCTAACTCACAACATGGGAAAGAGGAACCAGGGTAGCAACAGGAAAGCTCTCTTGGTCTTGTCTCAGGTGCTCACGATGTTGATATGACCAGCATCAGCTTCCACCAGCAGTTGAAAGCCCATATTTTCCCCACAGCTTGATCTCAAACATGGTCAGGCTGTGTTCAATGAAGATATAATTCAATTAAAATCAGCCACTGAATACAAAAGGTTTTCCTGGCTACGTACAAGAAGCAGGTTTTCCAAACATATTCAACTTATCCTTAGTCAGTCAGACTTCCTGAGGGATGTACCTGACCCAAACACATCTTTATTCCCAGATTTCACGTTCCTTCTGCAAATCACAGATACACAGAACTTAAAAATAAATAAATAAATTGCAGTCTGAATTGCTTGGGTAGGCTACTATAGGATTTTATTATTGTTGTTGTTTGCACTCAAAAGAAAAAAAGAAAAAAAAAAAAAGGTATCTAAGGCAAGTAACACCCTTAAAGAGACAGAGGTGGGGAGAAAAGGGAAAAAAGTTACCCCAGCACTTAAAACGGCCAAAAGGCCTAAGCAACCACAAGCAGACTGTAACAGCCTCATATATAAAATGAGACCTTATTTTTTGTATATACTTCTAACAGGTTTGGATAGTTACTTCTCATGAGTCAGAAAGGATAAACAAACTCTTGACAAGAGAGACTGAAGGTGTTTGCTATTCCCTTTTAAAAGGAATAAAAGAGAGCAGGTGGCCTTTGAAAGCAAAAAGAACTGAATAAAGCGCCAGGGTACGGACATTCAGGCATGTTCTGTGTATTTGCTGCTTGGTGTGTATTTTGCTATGCCAGCACACTCCTCTTCTGCCTTCAACATTAGACCACAAGGAAAGCCGAGCTGCTGCTCAGGGTTCTGACATGATCTGCGATTAAAGCAAGGCCTTGATCAAATACAGTTTTTAGACTCTTAGCTTGCTGTACTATGCAAGAGTGACTTTGTCACACCACATGAATCAGAAGCCCAACTAGAAGCTATTGTAAATAAGAACTATAAACAACAACAAGGAAGAATGAAACTTTGATCAAGCTACAGTTAATTGATTAAAACATCCATTTCATTGTCCTTTCATGTCTAAGCTTCAGAAAACATGAGAGAGAAAAAAAAAACAGCATGCAGCAGTAGAAAGGAGGCTGCAAAGGAAAGCCTGGCAAGCAAGCAAAGATTAAAAAGAGAGGGAAAACTAGATTATACAGAATAAACACAGAAACCTACTGTGCTCATGCCCAGAAGCTTAACCCAATTCTCCAGCTATGCCACTAAAAGGCAGAGGAATTTATAACCATCAGCAAAACACAGACTCTTATTTGCATTTATTTTTCTCACAGTAACCCTATGAAGCCTTCCTTCTGAAAACACAATGAGATTTGTGCAAAACTAACCTGGTATAATGCTTTCAATATGAAATGGATTAAACACCAGAAAGGATATTGACTTATATTCACATGCAACCTGAAAAGAAACCTTGTCTTTAGTTAACAAACCAGGTTTTCCACTCTGTTTATAGCAGAATGGCTGTAACAGCAATTTCTCTCTCAGCTGAGAGGTATCAGGATGGTCCCCAGATTCAATCATTCTCAAAGACTTTCAGGCGTATTAACAGCTCCAAGGGCCAGTGAAAAACTTCAAGACACTTATAAGCAGACAGAAAGCTTATGGGCTCCTTTTCTTGTGCAGTCAAAAGAGAAACACCCCTCCACCCCCCAATCTTTCATCCTCCCTCAGGCAATTCAGAGCCCTGATACTTCAGCTTCTGCTCTCAATCCTCTTTCAGGAGAGTCAAGGCTCCCACCACAGTCTAAACAGAAAGCCTAGGGACATCTGCCTCACTTACCGATGTCCATCCTTCCAAATTATCCCTTCTCAGCCTTCAAAGCCTACTTGGCACTAAACCCACTCATGCTTCAGCTTTATTTAATAATTTGAAATGCAAGAGTAATCTGAGACTGAGAGCTGCTCTTGGAAAATATCCAGAAGGTCATGTTTTTATGTACAGAATAGTGTCCTTATTTATTTTTTCATTGTTAATAAAAATGTCCCACATGGATACATCTCAGGATCATTCGAGCTCTGCAACGGATTCAACACTTGAGTGGAGGAAGTTGAAAGAGATCCAGGTGTAACCCACCCAGTTTCAAACTCTGAGAGAGCAGGGGCCTGAAGTAAATCAGCAATGGTGGAAGATAAAATGGTTTATTCTTCCACAATCTATGGGTACTGAAACTGTCATGACCAGTAACAGAGCTGACAATATCTGAAGGCCATAAGCTGCAAGCTGCTACAGGACAGCGTGATTACCTAATTCAGACAGGTACATTATATGTATAGGCATACAGCAAAAAAAAAGGTGTGTAAATCCTTGAGAGGGCTTGACATTTGGCTCTCCTGTCTCCTTGTAAATCATTGTACAAATTTACTAAACATGTTTGTCATTAAAACTTAACTAATTGATCTCCATACCTAGTTAGTGTTAGACTCTCTCTTTTCTATCTGCATGAATTACAAAGCTTTTTCCAGCCATAAGTCACTAGCATCACTGTAACAAAACGTGGGCAAGAACTAACAAGCTGAACTACTTATTTAGAAAACTGGCCCAGGATTAAATTTTATTAATGCAGTTTCCATTTCTAACTTTTTTGTTATTATTTTTTGGGGACAGTTGGTGAAGTCCTGCATGTGTGATTTCTGTACTCTGTCTTAGAAGAAAAACATGGAGCTCCAAAGCAAGTAGTGCAATTAAAGCTACACATACTACAACATTCTTAGGTGATATTTGCTGTTCACCTCCAGCCAATTACTCCATATTTAGTCAAGAAAATCATTTGATCTGAACAGGGACTGTGTCATATGATTCTGGTCACACAGTTCAAACTGAGTCAGAGTTGAAACAGAGATGTGATACACTGGGTTGTTCTTCAAATTGGAACTGTTCTCTTATGTTTCAAAATATTCACATTTCCTTGAAAAACGATGTTTTTACTTCATTTATTCTGCATGGACATCCCCAGCCCAGATTTCTGTCTGCCTTTAAGGCCCTTTTTCCTCTGCTGTAGGATAATTACCCTGCTGTTCCTTCCTCTTGTAGCCGCTGTTTTCTGTAGAAAGCCTGAAAAGGCTGTAAAGGTAGGCCTGACTTTTCTGCTCCTGCTTTCCCCTTTCTTTTCCTTCTGTATTACCTGTTCTGCACTTCCTATTTACTCACTTGCAATTTGCAAGTCAGCAGCTAGGTGTCAGGGAGTGGAGCTGCCCCTTCTATTACCACTCGCTTTAGGGAGAGCTGCTGGGCCCCAGAAAAGTGGGAAATTCATTTTCAGAGCAGATGTGGAGTCCATGGCTTCCTACAGCATAAATTCAATCTGATTTGCCAGCACCTTCTTGACTAGGATTTCTTCTCAGTTTAGCCTCTCTAGTTATGCCTACACTATAACTCACACACCTGTAGCACTTTATGGCACGAACCCTCAGCCTTGCTTTTTGACACACATTCCAATCACACACAAGGCTTCAAAATTGATCAAATTTAAGTCTATGCTGGGGGGGGTGGTCTATTTTAAACTTCTTAGCACTGCATCAAAATATACAGAATAAGTAAGGCCTAGTTGTCACAGTAACTGACATGTTTGCAAGCCACAGTGATTGCTGTCATCTCTAGACTTTTTCCCCTGCCCCCAAAATAGAAGAAAATCTGCTAGTAGTATGAATGACATACAGAGTTACAGACATTGATTAAGAAAGAAATGTTTTTGTGGGTCATGGCATCAGCAAAGCTTTGCATTATCAAAGAAAGGGAGCTCGCTAGGCCCTCAGACCTGAGAAGGCAAGCAGCAAGTATTAGGGAGATGGTGAGAACATGATCGACAGAATGATTTATGTGCTGGGTAATTTTTGCCGAGGTGAATATCTGGATGTAATTTGTTTGCCAAGTAGAAATGTATGGGCAACAGCCAAAGCCATGCATGAGAACTGTTGAAGTATTTGCCAAAATCAGGTGTCCACACTCCTACTAAATCACATTGAAATCCCTCTCCCTCTGGACATCTGTGAAATCAATGCTGGCCATAACCAAGTGACTGATTAACCAGCATCAGTCCTCAGTGGGACTCCACTTCAGAGCACTACTTTCTGGCCAACACACACAAAAGAAAAGGGATGCCAGATGCCTTGGGAACAGCATAAGATACTTCTCCCATCTTTCGCAGCATCTGTAAATCTGTTCAGAATTTCCTGAAGGTCTGTGGAAGTAAGGCTGAGTTTAACTGCCTTCATAACTTGCCTTCTTTTCCATGAAGGCATTTGAACCTATGCAAACTTTGAGCCTCCACACCCTGAGATAGCTGGGTTCTCTTGTATCACATGCTGTGTGTTTGAGCCTTCCAGCTGACTGATTCATACACCGTCTCTACAACATCATTGTGAGAAACAATGAACAATTATTTCTTAATTCCAGTTCTTGGTGCTTATCATAATTTGATGTGCTTCTATCACTGCTACAAACACCACTGTTTCTTTCCCATGTTGGCAAATCCTCCCTATTCATCTCAGTACTTGACACGTACTTCTATAGCACATGCTTCTGTAGGCTTATTTTTTGGCAGCTATCATATTTTGGCTTTTGAGTACTACTTAGCATTAACCAAAAATGTTCAGCAATCTACCTACTGTAACGTGACAGTCCATTTCCCAAGCTAGCGAGAGTTATTTCAGAGCACAGGGCATGAATTGCCTTCTGTAGTGGAGCACTTCTTAGAAAGATTGCATGCTCCTTACATGTGAGCACCATGACCAAAGAGCA